AAGGAGAATGGAAAAAAATGTTAGAGTCAAACAGTAGACCAGTGGTTAGCAAACTAAGTCCGATTTTTATATAGCCTAAGAGCTAAGACTGTTTTGATTTTAAAGGGTTGTAAAAACAAACAAAACCAAAGGAGAATATGACACAGACCATATTTACTATGTGTTCCACTGCAGAAAATTGTTGCCTGCAATAGAACACTTTTAAGCCACAGAAAGAAATGAACTAGCACTTACATTAATCAGCATAGATAGTTCTCAAAATATGAAAAACACAAATTTCAGAATGATATCTGTACTATGATAAAGTGTAAAGACCTACAAAATCAATATATATTTATAGATACAGTGCATATGTAGTTATAAATCACACATGAGAATGATAAACTCTGAAATCATGATGAGAAAGGGACACAGGGTACCCCAACTGTACTAGTAATGTTTCATTTCTTAAAGAGAAAAAAATAATTCTGAAGCAAACATGTCATGTGAATATTTGATAAAACAGATAAAGAGATTCCTGGTTTATTATATTTATTCGCTATTCTTGTTTGTATGCTTTAATATTTTATAATACAAATATTTTGAATTAATGTACAAAGAAAACTATCTGTAGTTAATTAGTGAGTGGGTATTCTGAACATTGTGTATGGTTTTCAGCAAGGCCTCAAGAAAAAAAAAAAACAGGCCAAAAAATCAAGATCCCTCATGATATCCTAGTGGACAAGTCAGAGAACTGGTATTTTAATATGAGTGCAGTCAGATTCGCAACTGGATAAGCAATCTGTACTCATAGTCTTCACTACTTCTTTCAGGCTAAAGGGCATTTGTCAAGGAGTTCTCAGGGCTGTGGCTTTGGGCTGTCCTTGTCTCCTGTTCTTGCCAACTATTGGATGAAGACATAAAATTATAGTTGGGAGAAAACTGAGAAGATAAGAGAATCATGATTCAAAATTCTCTCAAAGACTGGTACCCTGAGCTTGAATCTGAGAAAAGGAAATATAATAAAAATTATCAAGCCCTATGTTTATATATTTCAAAATATACTGTACAGGTACTAAATGGGTAAATCTTGGTTTAGCTGCTCTCAGTATGAAAAAGGAACTGGGAGAATGTACTGAACCATCTACCAATATAACCCAACTGTGTGATTCAGCTCCTCCAAAAGCTGTAACATTTGGGCACATAGATAAAATCACGGAGTTCAGATTAAAGCAAAACAATAAAAGAAAACATAATCCCACTGCTAACAGCTCTTGTCAAAATAAGTCTGCATTGTCACATACCATTATGAATGTCATGTTTTAAGGAAAAAAAGTGACAAGTCAGATTGTATCTCAACTACAGTGACCTTGATGGCTTCAAAGAATGTCATTAAAGAAATGACAGAAGGATCTGGAGAACGGAAAAGAAAAAAGGGACAGGATAGTTGTGAATATTTGGAGATCTACCATGTGGTAAGGGAGAGTGGATATATGTGTGTTGCTTCAGTGGGAAAAATCAGGTCTAAACATCAGGCTGTAGATTAAAGGAGGCTGATTTCCATATAATGTAAGTGAAAATGCTCTACTTAGTTGGGTCAATTTGGTGAGATATTACCATGAAAGCAATTTATTTTTCCCCCAATCTCCTCTCAGCTGTGGAAATAGAATGTGAAAAAATGGCAGTGTCCCAGTTTTGAGCCTAGACCACCCACAGGGGGCTCTGTGGCTCTGCATACTTTGACTTTCTCAGAGCCTTGCTACTACCACTAGGCTTACGGGCTCAGGAAATAGAGACCACATGGAAGTGAGCCTTTCCAAGTGCAGCTACCCTAGACCAGTCCTTCCCAATTGACCCACAGGGTAAATGTGTCCTAATGAACAAGCTCAGTCAAGATCAGCATAGCCTGTCCCAAACTAGAACTTCCAAGTTGACTTGGAGACTACTGAACAACAATAAATGCTTATTGTTTAAATGCTTATTGTTTAAACCAACCAAGTCTTGGGTAGTTTCTTACTCACAATAGCTAGCTGATACAGTGGAGATCCCTTTTCCCCTTTCACACATATGGCAACACAGTCTCTACTCACCCCAAGCTATTCCCTCAAGACTCCCTCCTTCAGGAATCTACAAATGAGAAGCAGGCCTCAGTCTCATTACTCATGGATGCTCCTAAACTCCAGGGTACACACAACAAGCTATCTCTGAAGGAAGTGTCAGTAGAGTGAGCCTGTGGGTTTCCAGCCTAGATGGCAGGAAGTGAAGTACTTGGCTACCCATGTTATGAGCACCCTTCATCTTGAAACCCCACTTTAGCTGGCTTCTGGGAGGGAAGGGAGTGGCCTCTCACTATAAATAGTATTTTATAGAAGTCCCTGTTCTCTCACTTCTTCCCCATAGATATTTCCTTATAGAATCTGAGGGTGGGGATAAAGGAAGTTGATTGTTGTAGGGCTGGTTTATCACTCTTATAAAATCCTGAAAAAAGGAATTTGGCAAATAATTAGTGGCTTTCTTTCTGAATGTGCTGTATCCAGCACTTGGACCTGATGTCATATCTGGGAAAAAGGAAAAGTCCCACTTAACTTCTTATTATATAAAGAATAATTGTCTAACAAGTGTTTTATCGATAGCAGTACCTTTTGCATACTGAGAGCTGCACTGATAAACATAGTCAAGCAGAGGCTGATGGATCACCTTTCGCAGGCACCAAAGACAGGATTTCTACATAAAGTGCAAAGTCAGACATGATGACCTCTTAGATCTCTTCTACCTCTTAGCTTTCTACAACTCCATGAGAAGCACTGCTGGCTAAAAGACCAATGGAACTACAGGGACATCAACTCTGACATGGTGAGCAGCCGAAACAACACCTGCAAACAACCGCCTCCCTCCAATTCCTTGTTAGATGAGCAAAATAAACCCTGGGTGTTTAACCCTGTAGTGAAGTGTTTGTCTCTTGCAGCAAATACATCCCTAATCACATAATGGAAACTATCAATGTTTGCCTCTTTGACACACTCTAGTCCATATTCCAAGTATAACTGCCTTTCTCCTTCCTGGTGAGGAATTCCTTTCCCAGATGTTAGTCAAGACCTGGATTAAATGTCAGCCATCTGAATTTTTAAGAGGACACTGTCCATTTCCTTTTTCCATATATATTTGATTTATTGTTTGACTCTTAGAGGACTTACATTTTTCCAAGTCCCTGGGGGGCACCCTACAGGTATTATTTGTGATACTGACGTTTACAAGATAGGTTTTATTTTCCTGAACAGAATTCTGTCTGAAAAACTATCACGCATGTTGGCAAATTTTTTCTGTAAAGAGCCAGATAATAAATATTTTAAGTTTTGTGGACCATGCATTGTTACAACTACTCAAGTCTACTAAAAAAAAAAAAAAAGGCACTCAAACATAGACAGCAGGTAAATGAAAGAGCATGGCTGTGCTCCAATAAAGTTTTACTTACAAAAACAAGCAGTGCTCAATTGGGCCCATGGGCTGTTGCTTGCTGACCTTTGAACTATAAGACAATCTTCATTTATAAAAACTTAAGAAAAAATTGAGTCTACTTGTAAAAATCAAACAGACTATAACTACATCTGGTCTCTCGCTGTGTCCCTGCCCGCCACGTGGAAAAACAATGAACTGGGAAAAGGGTATAGTGGCAATACAGAGACCTTACCTTGGTCAATGCCTATTCCAATAATAAGTCCTTAGAGAACAAAGATGTTGTGGTATTTATTGAGCACCTACCATTTGTCTGTAGCTGTGGAAGCCATTTTCACATAACTATTAATCCACCAAGGTTCAAGATTTCAACTTAAGGTCCTGGGTGAGGGAAATAGCTATGATATGCAAATACCCTGTGACCAGCCATAAATTAAGACATTCTACCATCCAGCCTGGAATATACGCAGAAAGAGGATAATATTAAAGGAAATGAAATTAATAAGTGATTTATTTTTAAAATTCTAATTTTGATATTATCTTAAATATGCATTTTTCAACTTAATGCTTTTAAACTCATTTTTGCTTATCTATATAGTAAAACTTATCAGAATATCTAGTTTTGATTTACCCATCATGTTTATGTTTAGAAGGGGCTATATCCTCTTCACATATGTAGGTTTTTCACTGTGTCCATGCACATAGGTTTTTGGTTTTTTTTTAACGAAAACCTGCCCTTAATTTGATTATGTGAGAGTGGCCCAAAAGTTAGAGAATTGTTCATTTAAAAGCTAAGGTATGTATTCAAACTGCAAGAAGACAGGAGAGTGCTCTTGCTTCCATCATTTACCACAAAGAAGCTGTTACAGCCAACCATCTCAGCTGGTTTACAACTATCACTGAAAGGCAGAGGAAAAATCCAAAGAGGCCTGGTCTCTGGCAGCTGTATTTTCAGCCTACAGCACTGTATTTTCCAAAATGGTCACTGCAGTGAACTTATTTCCAGAACTCTACGCTTCCCCAACAAGTCAGTTTCCTTCCCTCCTCTTCCCTTCAACTTCAGCAGGACTCCTGACTGCCTTAACAAAGAATACAGCAGAAGTGATGTCACATGACTTCCAAGGCTGGATCTCAATAGCTGATAACTCTTCTACCTGTCTCTCTCTCCCACTTAGGACACTGACCCTAGAAAGCAGCCACCATGCCATGAAAAAGCCCAAACTGGCCCACATAGAAAGATGAAATGGAGAAGGTCTGAGATCACCAGCAACAGCTAGTATCAACTGTAAGATGTGTGAATGAATGGGCCTTCAATGGATTCTAATGACCCATCTTTGAGCTGTGCAAGCTCATGTACAGCAGAGCACAGGTGAGCCAAATTGCAGATTCATAAGCAAATAAACATTGTTATTGTTTTAACTCACTAATTTTTGAGCTTAGTAAGTGCAAAGCAAACTCAGGATTGAATGCACATATGAATGAATTTCACCTAAAACAAAATGAACTTTATGTTTTGCTCCCCATTTTGATCCCCAAATGCAGGCAGAAATAAAAATATATATACATACATCTTCCAACAGTGACGGTCTGCTGCAAGGTGCTTATGTATAGCTGCAGAGTCAGCTGCGGGGCTGAGCCCAGGAAAGCCTGGATCACTGATGCCCGGCTGAATGCAGATCGATGGGTGAACAGCTTTCCCTCTGCCTGGCCCACTTCCTTCTCAATCTCCTCTGAGAAGCCATTTTTTGGCATCTGTCGCTTCTTGGTGATGCTGACATAAGGCTCCTCGATGTGGCCTGACTGACAATAGATGCACAAGACTTCAAAACACCTGGAAATAAATCAGCAAGTCATGATAAAGAGGCAGATAGGATTCTCTTTTCTCAGTTACCCTGCTTACACTTAGGCTGATTCTCAAAGCCTTGACTTGGCTACTCTGGACTGCAGCCCATCCTCTAAAACTGTCCACTCCAAGGACCAGTTCTGTGCATGCAGCCTTCATGCTTGAGTCCCTCCAGCAGGTGAAATGGAACTAAGTGAGAACCAAATTGAGAAGTGACGCCGAAGCCCACTGAGGAAAGGAAACCAAATAGAGATACAGAAAAATATTCAATTTGCCTTCCTGAAACTTATTAGCTGTGCAACCCTGGGCAAGTGATTCAATGCTTGAGCCATTTCTGTCAATTATAAAGCAGAGATAAAAACCTACTTTGCCACATCATTATGGAAATAATACTGGATATATGTCCATGCACACATACGTAAATGTATACATACACTTATACACACAGATATCTATAAATATCTCATATATATATATAATTCCTTTTATACATCCAAGAGATACCCCACATCTTAGTTAAAGCAGCAGCTATCATTGAGAGACCCCCAGCACTGAGCAGTTTGCCATTTAGCATTCTCCTGGAAAACCACGATGTATTTCCTAACTCTATTCTCATAAGCCCTTACAGAAGACAACTAAAGTTAATCATGCCTGAGGGCTAGCCGGCTATGTCTTATTTATGGAATTTCAAGCCTATCCTGGGCATAAAGCTGTGACCTTTCTACACTGACAGAGTACCTGGCTTTTAAAATTGGATTTCCTCTCCAGGTAATGAAATGGATACTGAAGGGAGGAAGAGTACTGATGTGTCTGATTTACTTTGAAGCGCGCGCGCACACACACACACACACGCGCGCGCAAATGTACTAATGGATTGATAGAGGGATGGATAAATCCGTGATATAAAATGTTAATTACAGAATCTAGGTGGATAGTATTGGATGTTCACTGTACATTTCTTTCAAGTTGTCTTCTGTATGTTCAAAATTTTTCATAATAAAATGCTGGGAAAAATATTCTTTTTCCTAGGAATAAAAAAATACTCATGGCCTTAGGTTTAAAATTATTAAAGGACATTTTCCGCTAAACATGCTTTTTAATAACAACCTTATAATGCTGCCAGAGGATTTTATGGCTTCATTTATTTTATTGAATGTTGTTAACTTTGTACTCTCACTCTTAGGCAACTATGGCAATAAGAATACATTTGTAATTTGAAATAATAAAATGATGTTAAAGAAAAAATGCAGGAACATATTTGGTGAATACAAAGTAGACATATTTTTTGATTACCACTTTTGTTCATTTGTTCCTGGGAGAAAGAAGGTACATAACAGTTTGTGTACCTATCATTCAAGGTAGTTTTTCAGCAACATGTGGACCAAGGATTGGCAAACTTTTCCTGTAAAGTATTTACAAAGAATAAATATATTAGGCTTTGCAGGTCATGGTCTCTACTGCAATTGTGCCACTAGTGCAAAAAAGGCCATACACAGTACATACATGAATAAGCGTGGCTATTCCAATAAAACTTTATTCACAAAACAGGCAGTGGGGGATTTGGCCTGTGGGGCATAGTTTGCGAACCCTTAATGTAGATAATCAGCAGGTTGATCCTTTTTTTTTTTTTTTTTTACTTTATCTCATTTTCAAGCACCATAGTAGAAGGAGTTCATTCCTTAGCTGAAACCATGAATGTTGGTGTCAGCATAAATAACCTGTGGTAACAAGAAACCTTGAAGGTAGTTAACAAAAGTACATTTTCAGAATACTATGATTTCCTATATGCCATGTTATCTTCATAATACACATATGCTTAGTGGACTACACAAGAACCAAACAGGTTAAATAGAGAGCCCCATGTGACCTTTGAAAAGCCACTTGCATACTCACACTGAGCCTCAATTCTTCAACAGTAAAAAAAAAAAAAAAAGATAATGACAGTTAGCTCACAGGGTTTTACAGTGGATGGAATTAAATATTGTATGTAAAAGCACTTTGCAAACAAAAATGCTCTTCAAACTTAGGCTATTATTTTAAAGTCTTTTAAGAGTTTACAATACAGACAAATACTATGGTGAATCATTTTGTAATGTTTTATAAAATATTACTGGAATGTCTTAGCTTTTATTTTATAAACCCAGACTTTCATGTGCCATTTCTTCCTCATTATACCAGTACATGAAAATGAAGAAAAATTACTTGAACTAGTAACTTATTTATATTCATTCCTTCTCCCAGTTAACTTATAAAATTAACATACTGTAAAACAGTAAACAAATTTTGTTGTTGTTGTTAAGAGGTATTTCCCTCCTCTGGTTTGGCAGAACACCTATTATCATTCACAATAAGACTGTCCTTAAAGTTAAAAAAATAAATAAATGCAAGACATTATTCTGTGCTCTTATCATCGAAAGACAGCCTTAGTGAGGAAACAACCATACACACTGTGGCTTTAGTTTTAAATATAAGACTGATATAAATGAAATATGCTGCTCTCCAATACTTCCCTAGGGGAAAGGTGCAGCAGGGCCTAGTTTGCAGCATTTAGCCTATAATTATTACAGTATAATATAATGCAATTTAACTGAGTAAATTCAAAAACAGCATCTCACCTGAAAAGACTATGTGTTGGGCCAGTTAGTATGTACTCAAAATAAACAGAACTACATTTTCCAAAAATAATTTCAAAATATTACTAAGTCTAATTGATAAGGAACAAAAAGAAACACACCATGACTCTCCTTTGTAAGGGGAAGATAATGTTGATTCTATGGAAAATCTTAGAGTTAAAATAGAATCAAACAGTCAGCAGGAAGAACTTCCAATAACATATTAACTCACGCTAATACACAACATCAAATTGTTCTTTTTTTTATCTGGAAGCTAAGAGGCTTGGAACTGTATCTTGTGTATCTCAGGTCTAAGATCATGAGTCCAGTATCTCCTTGAAATAAATCGGCTGTATTAGAATGATAGAGCCCTTGTTGACAGAAGGGGGTTGTTTGTTGCTTTGTTTTCTATGTTTTATTTCGTTTTTTTTCCCTGAAAGAAGACAATGACTCATTCAGAATTTTTTTGAAATATGTTTTTTTTCATGGGGTTGAAAACTTTTTATACAGCTAGTTATCTCTTCAAAGCATCAACCTTTTTCTTTCTTCAATAAAGTTAAAATATTTTTACTGCAAAAACTGAAAAATGTAGAGAACCATACAATAAGGGAGGGAATTACGCACTTTCTATATTTCTCAGGAGGAAATTAAAATCACCCAGAACTCCACCATCCAGAAATTACTACTCTTAACTTGGTATATTTCCTTGAGCTCAAGTCTATAAGTTCCATCCTGTTTTTACACATAATATTGTATCATTAGCTTTGTCTTAGGTTACTCCTAGTATTTAGAAACATTTTAAATGGCAGAAATGATAGGGTATTATCATTTATCCGGATGACTGTTTAGGTTGTTTTTAAATTTTGCCAAGATGACGACACTCTCTTAATTTAAGGCCGAACTATTGATAAAATACACTCCACACTCCTCTGTCTTCTTTCACAGAATGTAGGGATCATAATTCACTCTACTCCATTTCTAAGAAGCCTTGCGGAAACAATCTAGGGTCTCATTTTCCTCCTCTATAAAATAGGGACAATTACATCTAGGTAGTTCACAATGAGAATTCAGTGAACTGAGGCATGTAAGTACCTATAACCCATCTAACACAAGAAGCATTTGAGGAATATCAGTTCGTTTTTCTCCTTCATTTTACTTAAACATCGCCAGCAACGAGTTGTTTTCACAGATAAGGTTAAGAAATGATGAGTGCATTGCCCAAATTCAGATCACATTGATTTTACTGAGTGGGAACACAATCAGGATGCTGTGACCTACTTGGCCAAGGAGGATGAACTCTCTCATTAATGGGTCTCGGATGCAGGAGTTTTAAAAATTCTCATTTCTTTCTCCCCTTCTTTCTCTTCCCCCTGCCCAACCCTTCCCTTGCCCTCAAGATGTCAGTAGCAACTTCTTTCTTCCTCCAATGTACCTGTTTCTCTTCCTGTCTTGAATTCCGCAGCTTTTGGAAAACTTGTTCACCAACTTTGTCCTGACTGTGTAAACTACAGGTCCGCATTCTGAGTGTCAGCTAGAATGGCTGTCTTTAACATGAAGTGCAAAGATCTATTATAGTGTGCTGTAAAACCTATCTTGCTGCTTGACTTTGTGTTGTGTGTGGGTGTGTGGGGGTTGTAGGGGGAGATACTTCCTGGTAGGACAGGTCCCTGGCTACCTGACTAGCTGAATTTTCTGGCAGCTAAGGTGCCTCTCTGGCCTATGTCTTCCAATTCCTCTACCACCTATTTCTCAAGTTCAGTAATATTAATTTATATCTAATCCAGATAGAAACCCTTGGTTTTGTTTTTCCTACAGAGATGAAAGACATCAAAACATCACATTTTAAACTCTCTTCATGGTCTTTCGATAAGCCAATATCTATTTCATTACCATGTATTTCTCTTGCTTTGTGTTAATAAAAGCGGATTTCCAGAAATGTCACTGTAGTTTTTTCTTTAACACACAGCAAGTTTTTGTCTTCATGGCACCTTGTGTTCCAGGTTCCACAACCCCATATGTGTTCACACACAAGAAAAAGAAACTGAGGTGCGGCTTTCTAGAGTTACGTATGATAATAGAATATATTAATATTTGTAAAGCGCTCAGAACAGTGCCTGGCACATAATAAACTCCACGTGTTTAACAAATTAAACAATCTATCCCCGCTTTTGCTCCAACGGTGATTTAGGACACACTTCCCAAGGGTAACTCACAACACAAGCCAATCCTGTCAGAGCCCACCTGACCGCAGAGAAAGCCTGAATTTTTGGGAGGTCGGAACTATATGAAATTGCCATTTCTGTCAGTCAAATTCCGCCGAATGTTGGCAATTTCATAGGCAAAAACCTAACAGGAACGCACTACACCCAGCTTTATTACCACTATCCCAGGATACTGTTACGTTCCTGGGACTGTAACCGTGGGGCTGAGGGGCAGGATGGACCGGCCGGGGCCCGGTCCCCGGTCCAGCCACTTGTCCCTCCCGGAAGGCCGCCCCCTAGGCCAAAGCGGGTTGGAGAAGCCGCCGTTGTCTGCGGCCGGGGCCCCGTGGTCCCTCACGCACCTGAAGAGGGGCCCAAGCTGCAGCAGGTGCAGCAGCAGCACGAGTGGCCGGTCGCGGCTGAAGTCGCGGTGCACGAAGAGGAGCGTGAGCTGCACGAGCGCGCAGGGCAGCAGAGAGAAAAGCAGCGTCAGGGACTGCCACATGCGGTCCCCGCCCGAGCGGTAGGTACTGCTCAGGTACAGCGCCGCCATCGTCTCGGCCACGAACAGGAATACGGACGCCAGCACCGAGCCTGGGAATTTCATCTCCGCGCGTCAGCGGCGCGTACCGCTGGCAGACGCTGTGGCTGCAGCGGCTGCGGCGGCGGCCCAAGAGGGCTACCGGCATGCCCTGCCCCGCCAGCTCCCGCGCTCTGCGCTGCCCGCCGAGGGCACGGGGCCCAGGCGCTCGAGCGGAGCCTCGGGGGCGACCTATCCAGCTGCGGTGAGGCGGGGAGCGCGGTACCGCTCGGACACGCCCACACGCACCGTGCGCCGCCCTCGCGCCAGAGTGCCTGCGGCGTCTCTGCCGCGGCGGTCCCAGCCGGGTCGCGAACCCGCGTCCTACGACTGTGCTCGCGGGGCTCCGAAGGATTCAGAGATCTTTCTGGCCCTGCACGTAGCCGCTGGGTCCTAGAGCCCCTTGTCTGGCGTGCACGGTAGACACAGTTCACGACCTTTTGAAAAACTGCAACCAACGGGGCCCAGTGTTAGTGTTTGTCCTCCTTTCCAGTCCAGTCTCTATTTTCTGGGCCTAGGGAACACCCAATTCCTCAAAGGGCCTACGTTTCCGGTCATTTAAAAATAACCTGACCACACAGATACTTTTCAAAGTACAAGTGTGTTGTCATGCACCCAGGATTACCTTTTCACTGGGCCAAGGAAGCAAGCTCCTCAGCCGTTCAAATATAATGGTCCGAAGTATTGCTTCGAATGGTGAAAGAGCACCAGACATAATCCTGAGGAGCCAACACCATCTCTCCCAGAGCTGTTTACAAAATTTATTCTTTTATAACTGTGACTAACTCAGGGCAAAGACCAAGGCCTAATAAGGAATCGGTTTTCTGGCCTTTCTGGCTTGTGCTCTCCCCAAGACTAACACAATTCCTTTCCACTCACTGAATTTGTGACACCCTTCTGGACATCAGGATGAGCTCAACCCACCTTGTCCCTCAGAGTTTAAGCAGGCCACTAAATCTCTAAAATTCAGGTCCTAACCTGTTCGCAGGGATTAAACTTTAATAATATCGATCCTTTTCCCTGATGAAATTAGGTTATTCCATAAATCTGCAGTAATCTCTAACATTTTTCTATTTTGGAAAATGATGTCAGCACAAATAGAATGTGAACATTCAGTAAGAATCAAGACAAATGAAAGAGGAGAAAACATAAAGAGCTGTTTTCCTTCATTCTTGTGTGGCCTGGGAAAATCTATTTATAAGGGTTAAGGGGAGGATTCAGCCAACAGCTGAGAGTTACCAGGCCCATTCTCTAAAAGGATTACTAATGTCTATTTATAGAACCCAGCCGGCCACCCTGTCCTGGATCAAGATACACACACTGTCACAAATACAGAATAGGCAGCCACACTCAACCTAGTATTTTTATAATATTTTATTTGACACCATCTTAAAGCTTTAAAGGAAACATTTATTTGTAGCTTAGACTTATTCATTAGAGCACAATCAACATTTAGCATTAGATTTTATTTTAAGGCAAAAGATTATCACGGGTTTTATTTTATTAAGTAGACTGTACATAAATGGGGGTGGGTATAAGCCAATAAATAACATCACTTTAAACACAGAGTCCAGTTTACGGCAAATTATTTTCTATAGTACAAAACAAATACAGAAAACACATTTGGAAAGATCACAGTCTTTAGAACATTTTAACAGCGGTTTAAAAAAAAAACAGTAAGGTGCATCTCTAAGCTTCTGACTCAATCCTGCTTCTAAAGAGATTTCATTACACCATGCAGTGGCTGTGAGCAAAAACCCCAAGTGTAGGGGAGGCAACATCAACTGACTGCAGCACTCTCCTCTCCAGTAACAACCAATAACAAAAGCTAAAATCTGATGAGCTTTTGCAAGTTGATCCCAGTCAGTCTGCACACCAGCTAATTGCCCCAGTGACCGTGTCTTTATGTATTATTTGCCTTTTTGTCACTGAGAAAAAAATGCGTACATTCAAGCTTGTGATTGCTAGTTTCCCTGACAAATACATAAGTGGATTTTGACTAAAGATCAATTTAATGCCATGTATTGCATTATACTTTCTTGCTAGGACTGAAATAACCATCATTTTAAAAAATATTATGTACACAGTAATAGACTTATAGAAAGTGGATTTTTTGGTATAATAATATGTAACATACCAGAACACTTGAGAATTTGGTTTTATTATAAAATACAGTACTATAACATTTTGTGATATAGTAAAATATCTGACTGAATGTTCTGCTCTATATTTAGACCTAACTGCTAGAGATATGTCTTTGAAAGTGTCTCACAGTACCCCTAAAGAAATATAATAGTTAGCAAGAGGTCATAGAACCTGTTTTTGGCAAAAAGGCATTTTTGAGAAGCCTCTTGTTTTGTGTGCAAGACTTTCAAAATTTAATTATATACTACAGACAAATGGTGTTGGATTTAATGCTAATGGAAATTAGTATGATTTTAAATAACTAATCTTTATTATTTGATGTATTTTTCATAATTTTATGTTTTTAACTCTGCATTTGTGTTGAGGTAAATCTACTGCAGAGTGCAATTTTATTAATAATACTAATTTATTGAGAAGTTCTTCAAAATTCAATAATACTTTAGTAGTATGTATTCATTCCTAGATATAATTAGGAATAAGCAATTGTATTTTATTGACGGATTATTCTTTTTTATCCCCCTAAATAATTAAGGAATTGCACTAGTTTACTAGTGAATGTAAAAAGTATCATTAGGAAGGTGAGCTTTTGTTCCCCCAATGATACAACTACACTTCTGTAAGTATTGTGAATTGTGCAAAAAATCTTTTTGGTGAAGTAAATTATATTCACTGGGGAAATGCACATTCTGAAACTGAGATGTGGTCCTCGACTACTCCCATATATGGCTTTGCGAAGTTTCCCGTAATCTTTGGATTCTATGAAATCCGTTTTTAAATTTTTTTAAATTTAGTGCCACTAAATCCATGAGATTAAAAATCTGACTTCCTTTCCAAGAAGAGCTATCGCAGGTGTTCAAAGCTGGTAAAGCTGTTACCTTTTTAGAGAATGGGCTGCCCTTCCTTATCAGACAGATTCTAAAACCAAACTTTTGCTCTTAGAATGTTCCAGTCCTACCCCTGGACAGTCTATATAAAACTGATGGTAAACTTTGCATTTTCAGAAGACATCTCTGATATTGAAATACTAAAGTTCTAAAAAAAGAGACAAAACTAATCAATTTTAATCAATCTTCTTACTTGACTGCATCCACATGTAAAGGTTACTATAGTCAACTTGGACCAAATTCAGCAACAGAAGTTATTTGTAATTGGTAATTGCCACATAAGCACACATTGTAAAACAAAACAGGGGCCATATCAGAGGTCCCACTAAAACAAAGGCAAAAAGACCATTTGCTAAAGATTGACAGTTGTCAAGTACAGTCTATATCTTCTTTAAAATGATTGCTGAGTTACTGCTACTTTACACACTTTACAAAAAAGGTACAAATTATAGCACTGTAAATTAACACCACACAAAAAATACAAAAAGAAAGCATCAGCAGGATGGTATTACTCTACTTAAGAAACTGTATTCTATGTTTACACACAGGTATGCACATCCAGATGTTTCTCCCCTCATCTGTTTAGAGTGCTCATAATTTCTGAAATGAGAGCAAGGTGTGTATTTAGTGACTTTTTGAAGATCAATGTCCATGTACAAGACATTAAAGCCATCTGCTGGTTTCAAATTAGTAGGTGGTTCCAGAAGAAGATGTATCTTGGCTCTAGGGTGATTCTGAATACAAAGACTAAGTAGAGATAGGCCCCAAAGAGAGTAGAGAAAGAAGGAAAGACACAAAGGTTTTCTTAGAGACACTTGTGGCAATTTCCAAAATTCTTGTCTCCAAAAGTATAGTAAAGAATGACCTCAGGTCTCTGTGAGAGCAAGATTTAGTAGGTTTAATACTCTGGCTTAGACCCATTGTTGTATCTTTAATGGGCCTGGGGGTAGGGAAGGGGAATTGGTGTTTAGAAAAAAAATAAATATTATAAGCACATCATAAATGTGCCGGACTACCCATGTTTTTATAGTAGTAGCTGGGCAACAGCACAATCAGGAGGTTGGAACTTACAGAGACAGAACTCAACCTCAAACAGATTTCTCTACTCAGGAGAGTTTTCTCAGAGTCTGTGATATGTTAACGCATCATGTAAATCTCCAAAGAGGGGTAGAAGAATAGAATTTTCCTAACCTATTTAATCACAGAACCTATTTTTCCACAGGGCCACTCTTGGTACTAGCATTTCGCATTTCGGGGAAACACTGCCGTACTCAAATAACAGGCAGTGTTCTTTTTACATTTTCTTTTGTAACAACAAAAACATACATAAACTATTATTAATGTGAAACAGCACTGGGATGCTAGCCCTGTGGTATCCAATATACTAGCCAAACCACATGTGGCTCTTGTGCACTGGAAATGTGACTAGTCTGATTGGAGATGAGCAGTAAGTGTAAAATATAAATCAGATTTTGAAGACTCAGTACAAAAAATGTAAAATAGCTCAATAATTTTATATTGAGTGCATGCTGAAATGATAGTATTTTGGGTATGCTGAGTTAAATCAAATACATTATTAAAACGAATCTTACATGTTTGTCTTCACTTTTTTAATGTGGCTACTAGAAAATTTAAAAATTATATGGCTCACTTGAGGGTCTATTTGTGAAACTCACATCTGTTATCGTGTACAGATGGCTAATGGCTTTAACCTGACAGAAGAAGTTTTAGTGGAGATTAATGCTTAAGATAACTAGAAGTGTAACTAGGGCCCTCATTAATTATGTGCTAATTTACTAGAGAGCACTCAACACACAATGGAGATCCTTTTCATTAATGAATGTGTACTTGCATATACGCATTCACTCAGATATATCTAATAGCTAAATGTTGGGTTTTATTTCATATGTGACACTCTCCCTAAGTCCATCAGTCTCAGTCCTCAGTGTCTGTTTCTCTGTCTCTCTCTTTTGCGCGCACATGCGCGCGCACACACAATTTCCTACAGGGACTAAGAAAAACCAAAGGGGAAACAAACAGGAAGTCCTTGCAAACTGTTTTCAGTCAAGCCTTCTGTATCTTTTCTCCCTCTTCTTCCTCCATATTGTACAGAGAGGAGGAAGGCAAGAAAAATAAAAAGATAGACTGCTCTTTTAACCATACTGCTCACCAACAAATCCCCCCAAAGAACAAAAATATGGGCGATTTGGTTTTCATTTTAAATAATTTTTCAAATTCAGTTTAGAGGGGTAAGTTAACAGGTATACAAAGGCAAGAAGATGCAGGAAATTCTGCAGACAAAAGACTACCATTTGTGGAAGAGTCTAGTGGGAATGACAAGATCCAACACTTTGAGAAAATAAAAAACAAATATTTTTGGAACCCTAAAGGCATCATCCATCAGGCCTCAATTTATCATCACTTTCAATTAAAGAAATCAGGACAGAGCACTCCCAGTATGAGGTTTATGATAATGCAGGGGGCCCAGATATTTAATTCTATCATCCACTTCTTTTTTCACCACAGTACAAATAAAATGGCTAGGTTTCTTTTGGGAGAGGCAGGATAAAAGCAGCTGCCATTCTACTCTCATGCACATTGTACTTGGGGTGAGCTGTGCTGGACATTCCCAGCTCCTTCTGCCGCTGACTTTGCTGAGCTTGGCCCTTCTGTCCAGAGTGGAGTCTAGTCTTACTGAGCCTGTAGCTCTTAGCTACCAATGGACATGGATGGAAGAGATAAGGAGAAAACCTGCCTGCCCAGGCCAAAGGGGGTCACATGATTAAGCACACAAGCAAAAACAAAACCTTATCAGTATGTGACTAAAGAGGAAGAAGACAAGAAGTTGCTGAATTGGGGGGTGGGAGTGATAAGAGATCCTAGGAAGCAATAAAACCCATGAGTAAGATGCATGGTTCTTAGCAGCATTGAACATGCATCCACAACTCACATTGAGATGCTGAGCTGCAGCAAGCTTTCACCCACCCACCCTTTTGCCTATCTTCTCATTGGCTTTCCTTGCTAAGTTTATGCCAAGGTCAAATGGCCTTGGTGAATCTGACGCTTACTCATTTAGCTATTAATTTGGTATAGTGTTGAGTAAATAACTCAGGTCCCCAAAGGAAGGCCTTATATGCAATCTAGAGTATATTTCTATTGCTATATGTCATGCAGTTCTGAGGCCTAAATTAAAGTGCAGACCAAACTCAACCAAAAATACTTTATTTCCCAGTTCATGTTGGCTCTGCAGACCTAGACTGCCAACTCCTTTTCTTGCATTACTGGCACCTTAATCCTTTGTTTCAGCAAGCAAAATAAATATTTGCATCAAAAGGAGCTCAACAGCTAAACCAGCCTATGCCTATGTAGTAAGCCCCAGAAAAGCAGAACTTTCTGAGGCACAAATACTATAGTCAGGATTGGTTCTAGAATATAAAAAACATACACTTTGTTTTTTACCAGTTAGGTGATCCAGAAAGTACTACATCCACACATGGAGATTCCATTTGGCTAAAATGCTTATTTGAAGTCATAATTGAGCATGATTTTTCTATGCATGTTATAGGTATTTAAAATTCAGCTTCTCTTCTTAAATATATAAAGTACCTGCATATTACAACTCTCATTTTATCATTTACAACCCTCATCACAACCTGTGAAGTGGAGAGGGTGATTACATTATTATTATAGTGGCCCATGGATTTGGTAGAGAAAGGCTTTAAGATTTCCAACACAGGGTTCTTTGCATTACTAATATTTTTCCTTTTAATCATGTGTTTCCTTAATATGGTTATAAATCACAAACTTACATATTTTTGCATTGAAATTGATATTTCCTTTCTATAGAAATTGAAACAATTTGAGTACTACCTTGATTAAAATATTAATGTGTCAAAGGAAGTTAAAAGATATAAATTGCCATGAAGGAGTTGCAATTTAGCATAGATCAAAAAAAGGACTCTCTTTCTCAAGTTATCAAACAGTTAAAACTATTACCTTAAGTGTGTAGTCAGCTACCTGAAGAGTCACAGGGGAATACATGCTGTGAAATCTCTGCTCTTTTTTTATTTTTTAAATGTAATAATTATTGTCCTTTTTCTCCATTACCATTTAGTCCCCTTATACCCTCCTCCCCTCAGCAGTCACCACACTGTTGTCCATGTTCATGAGCCCTTTTTCCTTTTTGCTCAATCCCACCTCCTAACCTCCCTCCCCACTAGCTGTCATCTGCTCTCTATCTACGAGTCTGTCTCCGTTTTGCTTGTTAGTTCAGTTTGTTCATTAGGTTCCACATATGAGTGAAATCATATGGTATTTGTCTTTCTCTGTGTGGCTTATTAAATCTCTGTTCTTACTGGTTACAAATGGAACAAAAAATAAAAACCGATGACTAAAATGGGACTGGGCGAAATATATATGTACTACTTGGGGATATGTTTGGGAGAGGAGGTTCATAAATGTGTTAACGAAACAAAATGCAGAGTTGTATTAGGTCTCAAAACTTTGTTCTCAAAGCATAATGCAGTCTCTCTATTGTTGAGAGATTCTTTCAATATCCTTGCATATCTCCAACGTTACCTTCAGGGTTTATAATTGTTCCTGTCACATATAGTAAATAATACTATAGTTATACTACTGGTGGTGAATTGCCCCATAGTCTTAAAGAGGCAATATGCTTAATTAAGTACTATTCAAACTTAGGGGTATTTTTCCACTTCTTGGGAAAAGAACGCAATAGAAGAGTACTTTCCCAAACCTATAATTCTACTTTTACAGGAAAATGAAAACTTATAAAATGTTTAAATGCCAAAGAAACTTATTACCCTTATTTCTAATTTACCAATATGTTAATTCATAAAGACATACTCAAACATGGACTTTGCTTGGATTTGACACACAAAAGGGTTATCTTTTCACAATGGTCAGTATAACAATGTCAGTTACCCTACTGAACCTTGAAAGGCCAGGTGAGCAAGACAGAGTCCAGCCTTTCTGAAGTTCCTAGAAATGAAACTGATATATTGAGCTAGATAATCACTTCTTAGTGCTTTAGGTTTCAGGTCTCAAGGATGAATGGTGGAAGGATCAGCAAACAGGAACAGAAAGTAACTTCCATGGGGTATTTTGTTTACTGCTATATCCCCAGCTTCTAGTCTGGATACTCAATAAATATACTTGGGGAGTGAAACCCTGGGTTTGAAAAGCAGGTATCACTATCATTTCAAAAGGAGCCTACTTGCAGAAAGCATTTTTGCCTTAAGGCTTTCAGAGAGGCCCTTGACTATCCTTAAAAGAACTTCTAGAACCCAACTTTGGAAGTCATCTTAAAACTGCTACTTATTGGTATTGCCCCAACCTGAGTACTTTCAAAGATGAACAATAGAAACCAATTTTATATGTTTATATCTGAGGATGTGAAAATGAAACAAGCTAAAAAGGTGCATGTTTTTCAAAACTATTGTGTCTAGTTTGTTCTGACTGAAAACACAAATAGTCATAAAATATACAAAGGCAGTTCTTACCTTTTTTCAGCCACAGATTTCTTTGAGGACCTTATGAATGCTAGAAATCTTCCCAGAAAAATGTGCACACACATACACACAAGCAAATGGGCACATGCCACCACACACACATGTATACACACATATTTTTAGGCAACAGAGTATTCTCCAGCTGCTCCCAAAGTTCACCTATGAATCAGGAAGTTAAGAACTACTCAACTAAGTAAATGCTTGAGTTACATGGGGATATATGTAAAATACTTACATATATATATATATCTCTCCAAATGTTCAATTACTATTTAAATGATTGTTAAATCTTACACAGTATACAACTTCATCTTCCTCTTTGATACATGAAATTACCAGTGACCAAGTTCTAGGAAAGGGGTAAACTCATGTTCTGAGTATTGAAGAGGCAGATGCTCCTACGGTGTTCTGAAAACCACTATTTACTTGAAGTAGTTTCACAATTTGTGTGTTTACAGCAAGGTTGAATTTAATATGACAACTTTGCTCAGTGGGAATTGTAGACAATTTCTTGTGGAGCTTGCGTCTTGGAAGATAAGGTAATCAGCCAGGGAGTTCATGGATCTCTTAATCTAACAGTATAAAGTTGAGCGATGTTCTTTTCACAATCACTAGCCCCTTTTTCTGCCGCTGACTGTTCTAGGCGACACAGTATTCCATCAAAAGCATAAATGACACACTTTTGTAATGGTTACCCTGATCTTTGAGATGAGTGATTTTTACAAGTATATTTTACAGTTTGCTAATAGCTTCATAGGAATTACATAGGCATATAAAAAGTTATAATAGACAATAACAGCTCACATTTCAAATTGAGAAAAACATTTGACAGCAACACTTGCTACAGTATTTGCTAGCCTATGAATTTTACTATTCTAATTGAGCTTTAGGGGACAAAAAGGAACCAGGTAAAGAGATACTCTGAGGCCTAGGGAAACTTCAAATTTCAGCGTTTAAATGAAGTTATGATATGCGCCTAGGGTAATGATAAAAATAGAGATTCATATGAAAATTGCTCCACTCAGTAAAAATCATGAATTTCAGTAAGTAAAGACATAGGTCAACCAAGAGTTTCCTTTTTTTTTTCTTTTCTTTCTTTTTTTTTTTTTTTTTTTTGTCCTTCAGCAATCTGACACTTCATCCCTCCTAGCAGCTTTCTGCTGGGCAATTATTTTAGTTTTAGGTTGTCTTTATTTCTGACTTTAGGGGTGGAGGGCACCTACAAATGGTCAAATTCTCCAGTTGCAAAGGTATTGCCATTTTATTGCTGTTGCCCACATTTCAATTTTCTTTTTTATGCCCTAACCGAAAAAAAATGATTTCTCTTTCCCTTTCTCCTCTGATTTCTGATTTCATTTCTAGTCTCTTAAATATTGAACTTCTATGGTTTTTAGAAGAGTTGTGGTGTCTTTATTTTGCAGGTTCTCAGACTGTTCTCCCTTAAGTCTGGTATCACATTGCCTTTACCTGCCTGATCCCTCCCCCCTCCCTTCCTTTTTTCCCTCCTTCCTGTGGCAATGTTAAGGCTCATGGTTGTGATACCATTGAATGTGGCTTGTGTGGAAACTGCCTCGGGTAGGCTCAGGAAATCTCAGGGACCTTCTGCAGGGCCACAGTGGGACATGGAGCCTTCTAAACAAAGACGCTGAAGAGAGGGAACTCAGCCTGACTGGGCTGCAGCAGATCAATCAGAAAGCACACAGTCCCAGAGAAGCCTTCATACAAGCTGTATATACTTTCAAGGACGCGAGAACCAGCCTTGAATTCCTCGGTAAATAAAAATTCAGCAAACCTAAAAGAAGAAGAAGAAAATATGAAGAGTTTTAACATTAGTATTTCCACATTATTGACCTTGGGTTGCTTCTTTCTCCTCTCTGCTTAATTCAAGTTTTAGCATCATTTTCTTTTCAGAATTGTATAATATTTTAAGAAAGACATTAAAAAAACAGAGGAGACATTATGTAATTGTGTGTGTTTCACAACAAATTATGTTAGCAGGCAAAGTCAGCTATTTTGAGCATTTGCAAAGCAAATCAGTTTGTTTTTTTCCTTAGGATTTCATTCCTTCTGTCATCCATTAATTAAAAGTAAGAAAGACAGATAAGTAGCCATACTTTTATTTATCTTGAATAGCAAGCTGATATATGGCTGTTCCTTTGAAAAAGTAAATACACTTTTTCTGCATGAATATTATTTCTGAGCTAGGTTTCATTTATATGTGACAGAGAGCAGAGACTGTGAAAATAAATGTGCAAGATTTTATACAATCTGTGCTTTTGGTAAGCAAAGGAATAAGATGAATGAGAAAAGGCGAACCACATTTTATAATCATGACATCAAATAGCAAACTCAGCTACAAGATAGATTATTTTTAGGACATCTGCCTTAAAAATAAATCACTGACCTCGAAATTCTCCATGAAAGAGCTTTATCCTTTTACTGGTGTTTGCCACAAACCCTATTCAAGTTATTTATGATGGGTAACATTTTTAGTAGTTAATGGCATTTGAAGTGCTGTCACCTATGTCATCTCTTTACTGACTTGCTCTCCTCATTCCCATCACTAACAAAAATAATCACCAATTTACAGGCTAGAGCTCACTGGCTGGTAAGGCCTGACAGCTGATACTGCCATAAATGTAGATGATTGCTACTACATAGGGGGTCTTATGAAGAGTGATTACTCATCTGATCTTTTTAAGGTTCTTGGAATTATTGATGGCAGCTTAAAATAAATCAGCAGGACACATATTGCAAATCTGTTTGGTGCAAATTTTCTATCAACTGTTTTCCTGAATACGCAATAATTTATAAATAAAGTTTAAATTTTTTTCCCATCACCATTTATCTCCCCTATACCCTCTTCCACATCCACCATCCCCACCCCGTGCAATCACCACACTGTTGTCCATGTTCATGAGTTCTTGCTCTTTTTTTGCTCAGAATAATGACACATCCTATAAGTTCATTCAAAATTTGTAATTATGCAATGAAGCTTCATGGTATAGCTTCAAGGAATGTTGACCTTTTTAGTGCAATGGATCATTTTGTAGTCTGGACTCCATCTCAGAAAAAAAGCCTTGAAATACATAAGATAAAATGCATAGGATTCCAAAGGAAATTAATTATATTAAAAACAATAGCAAAAATTTTTAAACAAAATTTGTGATATAATAATATAGATATTCTTTATCAACACATTAAATAGTAGTGAATCTAATAACTGTGTAGATTTCTAAGCAGTGGTAGGAGTGAAATAAGTTTTACAACATCTGCAACACGGGTAATATGTGACTTCTATTGGTGACAGAGTCACAGTTACTGCTAATATTCCTGTGGTTATTACTTACGTTCAAAATGGAAAAAAATGCCAATTTCAGTTTGATGTGTAATACAAAAAGCCTAGATTAAGAAGCCCTGATGTAATAGAAAGAGGAAGAACTTTGTCGTTGTAATTCCCAACTCTGATCATTTCATGCTATATGACATTTGGAAAATTTCTTAATCTGATTTTAAAATAGTGAGGTTGCAGAACTGCATACAATAAACTGTAAAAATTAAAAACACCATATGTTAGGCACTGAGCATATAGCAAGCATTCAATACATGGTACATTTCATGTATTCACATAAACATATTATAGCAGAGTATTTGTTAAACAGAGACAACCATTCCACCATACTTTAAAAGAAACCCACATGTTAACTTTGCTCTCTCTTCTTCCAACCCTTTCCCCTAAGTTTAATTGATTTATTATATTGTTAAAATTAGTTTGTATAATATTTGGTATCCTACATTGTTTTACTTAAAAATAATATAAACATTTTTGTGTTGTTCAAAATAATTTCTAAATGACATGCAAGTACAGCAATTTACAAGTGTAATAGCAATGCTTGAGAGTAGCAGTTTCATTGTATTCTGATCTGTATAGTCAGTATAGTGTGTTACCATATTAAAGTGAAAATGATAGTTTCCAAAAATCTACCCAATGGTGCAGAGTTCAAACTAGTAAATTCATTTTCTTCTGTCAAAATAGAATTCAGAATAGTAATTATACAACTAAAAAGAATTAAAGACACTGAGATCATTATATATCAAAACCTGGTGATTATGACCAACTAAACTCAGATGAGAATTCATTCATCTGAGTTTTTAACTTACTATTATTTTTTATTAGAATGATAGAAGTTATTCTAACTAAGCATTCTTTTAAACTGTTGAAAAATAATAAAATAAAGGAAAGGCACACTGGAAAGTCAAAATATAGGCAGAAAATAAATTAGAAAGCCAAAGAGAAAAACAGAGAGAATTAATAAACAAAACCAAAGGTAGTTCTTTGAAAGCATGAACAACATAGACAAAATGCTGGTGTGTCTGATCAAAAAGAAGTATTAGGAGGCATATAAACACAGACATCGGAGATATAAAATATCATAGAACTACACTGTTAAAACTTTACCTCAAACATCTGAAAATCCAAACAGACTAGATGCTTTTGTAGGAATACATTTTACTTCAAAAAAATTAATTCAAGAACAGATAGAAAAATCTGAAAAATTACATAATCATAGAAGAAATTTAAAAGGTTGTCAAATATTTTTCTGTGACCATCAATTCCAGCTGTATATTAAGGGTAATAGGCAAAGACCAAGTAATGTTTATCCCAGAGAGGTATGTATTGTTTGACATTATTGTCTTAGGAGCTGACAAAATGAACAAAATCCCCCCACTTTGCGCCACCCAATATTTAACTTTGAATTGTAACAAAGTAGAAATGTTAGTATTCTATGCACTTCAATGCAATGCCCACACACTATTTAGATATTACTGGAACATTTTTGTTCTGTAACTTTGAGAAACTTAAGTTGTCTAAAGGGCCCTGGACTCCAGAACCTTATGATTAAGACTCTGTAAGCTAGAAATGGCTTGCCAGAAAAATAAGGGGTGGTTCTGACTCTTTTTAATAGGCTTTCTAGGGCATGAAAACCTTTGATGAAATTTATCCCAAAGGTGATATAGCATTAGTCTAGATAAGATCCAAAATGACTCTCCTGTTTTACATTATGGGAAATAAAGGGTCAGGTTACAACCTGAACAGATTAGGGAGCCAGGAATCAAAATATGTTAACAAAATTCTTAAAAAGAATGGAGCTTCAAAAGAGGACTTACATATGTTAGTATTTTTTTTCTTCAATGCACACACACAAGTATCATAAATGATATTTTATGTTTAACATTGAATATTATATAAGTTGAAGACTTCTGGCCAAGATGGAGGCCTAGGTAGATACACTTTGCCTCCTTGCATAACCAAAAGAAGGACAATAACAAATTCAAAAACAAGAAATAACCAGAACTGCCAGAAAATTGAACTGTATGAAAGTATGACAACCAAGGAGCTAAAAAAGAAATATTCATCCAGACCGGTAGGAGGGGTTGAGATGGGCAGTGGGGGTGGAGAGGATGTGAGGCAAGGCGGCGGATGGAGGACCAGGTGAGTGAGGCAGCAGCTGGCGGACTAGGCGGCCCCACATCTGCGTGCAGATAAACCATGAGGAACAGCTGGGGAGTGAGACAGACTGTGCAAACCAGGGTTCCAGTGCAGGAAAAGAAAGCCTCAAAACCTCTGCCTATAAAAAACCTGTGGGGTTTGCAGCAGCAGGAGAAACTCCCAGCTTCACAAGAGAGTCCGTTAGAGAGACCCATGGGGTCCTAGAATGTACACAAACCAACTCACCCTGGAATCAGCACCAGAAGGGCCCAATTTGCTTGTGGGTAGCAGAGGAAGTGACTGAAAGCCAGCTGAGAGCCGAGCAAGCGGCATTGTTCCCTCTTGGACCCCTCCCACACACACAATGTCACAACGCAGTGACCTGGGTTGCCCCACCCTGGTGAACACCTAAGGCTCTGCCCCTCCCAATGTAACAGGCACAGTGAGACAAAGAAATATGGCCCAAATGAAAGAACAGATCAAAGCTCCTACCGTAGAAATAAGCGATAAACAGATAGCCAACCTATCAGATGCACAGTTCAAAACACTGGTAATCTGGATGTTCACTGACTTGGTTGAGTATGGTTGCAAAATGGAGGAAAAAGTGAAGACTTTGCAAAGTGAAATAAAGAAAAATATACAGGGCACCAGCAGTAAAGGGAAGGAAACCGGGACTCAAATTCAACAATTGAGAGCAGAAGGAAGAGATAAACATTCAACCAGAACAGAATGAAGAAACAAGAATTCAAAAAAATGAGGAGAGGCTTAGGAACCTCCAGAACAACTTTAAACATTCCAACATCTGAATGATAGAGGTGCTAGAAGGAGAGAAGGAAGAGCAAGGAATTGAAAACTCCCCCAACCTGGTGAAGGAAATAGGCTTCCAAGAGATCCAGGAAGCTCAGAGAGTCCCCAAGAAGTTGGACCCAAGGAAATACACACCAAGGCACACCATAATTACATTCCCCAAGAGTAAAGATGAGGAGAGAATCTTAAAAGCAGCAAGAGAAAAGGAGACAATTACCTACAAAAAGTTCCCATAAGACTATCAGCTGGTTTCTCAAAAGAAACCTTGCAGGCAAGAAGGGACTGGCAAGAAGTGTTCAAAGTCATGAAAGGCAAGGGCCTACATCCAAAATGACTCTATCCAGCAAAGCTATCATTTAGAGTGGAAGGGCAGATAAAGCGCTTCCCAGATAAGGTAGTTAAAGGAGTTCATCATCACCAAACCCTTACTATATGAAATGTTAAAGGGACTCATCTAAGAAAAAGAAGATAAAAAACTATGAACAGTAAAATGACAACAAACTCAGAACTATCAACAACGGAACTTAAAAAAAAAAAAAACCAAACTAAGAAAACCCCTAGAATAGGAACAGAATCATAGAAATGGAGATCAGAGGGGAGGGGGATGGGGAAGAATGGGGGAAAAGGTACAAGGAATAAGCAGCATAAATAGTAGGTACAAAATAGGCAGGGGGAGGTTAAGAATAGTACTGGAAATGGAGAAGCCAAAGAACTGATATGTACAACCCGTGGACATGAACTAAGGGGTGGGGGGATGCTGGAGGGAGGGGCAGTGCAGGGTGGAGGGGAATAAAGGGGAGGAAAAAATTGGGACAATTGTAATAGTATAATCAATTATATATATATAAATGGAGACAACTGACAAAAAAGAATATTATATAAGTTGGTTTAGGAAGGCCTTTCTGAGACAATGACTTCTGAGTGAAGGTATGAATGAATTGAGGGCACTGGGACATATACGCTTATGTAGAAAGTGAGCATTATGGGTGGAAAGAACCAAAATTTCAAAGGCCGTGAGACAGATTATAGCTGGCATCCTAACAAAATCACAAGGAAGCTACTATGGTAGAAAGAACCAAGAGGAAGAGTAGGGGATGGTATTGAAATGGTAAAAAGAGGCAAAATCCTGTAGGCCACAGCGTTATCCAAGGCATGGCCCGCAGGCTGCATGCGGCCCAGGGTGACTATGAATGTGGCCCAACACAAAATTGTAAATTTACTTAAAATCTCTTTTTTTTTCTCATCAGGTTTCTTTAGTGTTTGTGTATTTAATGTGTGGCTCAGGACAACTCTTCTTTCAGTGTGGCCCAGAGACACCAAAAGGTTGGACACCCCTGCTTAGGGCCTTTCATTCAAAGGACAGACTTTTACTTTTTCTCTGTCAAATGGGAAGCCACTGAATTATCCTGAGCAGAGGCATGTCATAATCCAACATGATATACACCATGAGATGCAAATTTAAAAGATCATGGTGAAACAGAAAAACATTCCTAATGAAATCAGTATAAAGGCAAGGATGTTCATTATCCCTCTTATCAATGAACATTGGTTTGGAGATTCTGACCCATGTATTAGGAAATTTTTTAAAAAAGAGTATACATATGAGAAAGTAACAAAATTATAATTATTTGCAGATAATATGAGTGTCTATTTAGAAAACCCAGTGGAACCTAATGTAAACCTCATAGAAACAGTAATAGAGTTCAGTGAGGTGGGTAGATCTATCATTAGGAATTTATCAAAACTAAAATGTTTATAAGATACAATGCAGATTTATATGAAAGAAGTGTATCTTAGATTGCTAAACTGGAAATATTATGTATGTTTTTAAAAACTTTCATAAGTACCAATAAGAAATGACCTGAAAATATAGTGGAGGAAAAAATTCCACTCACAAACCTGGAAATAAAATACTAGGAATAAAATTAAGAAGAAATATACATGATCTTCTTCATAAGATCAAAACTTTAACCAAATGGCATTTTTAAAACTGAAATAAAGGGACAATGTACTATGTTCCTGGATGGAAAAATTCAGTATTCTAAAGATGTTAATTCTCACTAACATAAGCTATAAATTCCTTGAAACTCCAATCAAATTGCCACAGGGTTTTTTAAATTTGAAAAAGTGATTCTAAAACACAATTGGAAGAATGAGAGAACAGCTATGAAATATCAGAAATAAATTAATAATGAAATATAGGAAGTCCAGAAACAAACCCACACATTTATATAAGTTCAGTTTATGATGAAACTGGACTTTCAAATCATTAGGTCAGCAGGTGTCACTGGAAAGTTTTGTCTTTTGTTTAAAAAACACAGAGATTGATATCCATCTGACATCGTTAAACAAAAACAATAAGTTCTAGAATAATCAAAGATGTGTAAGTTAAAATCATAATGGTATTAAAAGTCAATGTAAGTTAATATTTTCCTTTTTTAAAAGTATTTTATTTTATTTTATTTATTTTTAGAGAGAGGGGGAGGAAGGGAGAAAGAGAGGGCGAGAAACATCAATGTGTGGTTGCCTCTCATGTGCCCCTCACCAGGCACCTGGCCTGCAACCCAGGTGTGGGCCCTAACTGGAAATCGAACCAGTGACCCTTAGGTTCGCAGGCTGGTGCTCAATCCACTGAGACATACCAGCCGGGGCTATTTTCTGTTGTTTTGTTTTGTTTTGTTTGTAATCTTAAAGAGGGAAGGGCCTTTTAAAGCAAAACACAAAATCAAGAAAGCTTGTAAATTCAACAACCTTAACCAGAAAAATACTTAAAATTTTGGTCTGGTGAAAGATCATGAGCTAAGCTGAAAGAAAAATGACAAAGTAGGAAAATATTTACAGTGTATATTGACAAAGAGTTACAATCATCAATAAAACATCATAGTAGGAAAAACGGGCTAGAAATACCTATGGATCTAATGACTTCAGTTCTAAAATTTCTCTTACAAGAAACACTTGCACAAGTGCATAGAAATGTATGTACGGGATATTTAGGACAATTTAGTTTGTATTAGTAAAGACTGAACATGTACAAGTATCCATTACTTATAGATTGATTAAATTAATCATGATACATCTACAGTGAATAACTACATAGTCTTTAAAATTATGAGATAGATCTATACAAACTGAAATGGTGTCCTTTTAAATTGTCTATTTAAAATACAAGTTGCGATCAGTATATATAGTACTGTTATACATTTATTTAGAGTGCATAGTTGATGTACTTATTTTTACACTTTTTAAACTACGTGACTCTATTACCTTTTCAGAACATTAGTTAGATTAACATTTGGAAAAAAATTACATGTGAAGAGTGGCTGACCTTTGAGCTCGGTAGATGTATTTAGAGTTTCCTGTGAGCCGATACAGCAGCAGGAAGACATAAGCACTGCCAGCTACACCATGGCAAATTCCCGGCCCCTTCTTTAGCAGGCCCTTTTGCCATGTGAGTTCTCCACACCGGATACACGTGTCCAGGTACTGTGGTTTCTTGGAAACGAGATAAGCTTTGGCAAACAGATAGGCAATTCCTGTGAAAACATCAAAGACTTTCAGGTGACTTTCAGGGCTTAATGCTGTAGAGCAGAACTTCTCAAACTGTAAAAGGCTCACAAATCATCAGTGTATTGGCAAAATATCCAGTCTAATCTGGTAGTTCTGAGGTGGGGCTGGAAATACTACATTTCTAACAAGTGTCCTGCTAAAGACCACATTTTGAATAGCAAGGCTATAGAATCTCCAACAAGGGAGTCATTTTTTTCCTGTGAGATTTAAATTGTTTGAATTGTATTGTGCTGTTGGTCCCTGAAGAGCAACAAGTACAAAGACTGATAAAATCCATAATTTACAAATTAATATTTAACTATGCATACTCTGGTAAGCATTATGGGTATCTGGCTATTTGGAATGGCTAAATGTTTATAGTTTGCCTATTCTGTCTCCCACCCTAATTTATAATGAATTTATAATGTTAAAGTACTTATAACTATACACCTTTTCTTAAGAGCAAAACTGGGAGTCCTGCCAAAGACTATAATGGTCCCAAATGACTTGGCCAAGACTTCTACTTCAGCTGCGAAATGAGTTCATCCCAACTTGATTGTTCTAAGGAAAGACATTTTCCTTCAAAATTTCTCAACAAAGGCAATTTCAATTACATAAGCAGGAACAGAAACAACAGAAGCAACAATTATTAATAGAAAAGTTTCCCCCCGAGTTTTAGGTGCTCATATTCAGAAAAGGAGTTAGGAACCCAAAATCACTCTCTTTCGTACAGGGGCTACCTTACTCTTATATAAAGTAGAAAACACTGGAATTTAGTATCTTAAGTAACTCATTGAGGTTTTCTTCATCTTTCATTGTCTTTGACTAGGCTCTTTTTTTCAAGTATATTGTATTGATTATGCTATTACAATTGTCCCATTTTTTTCTTCCCATTATCCCCCTCCACCCTCCCCACCCTCCTCCCTCCAGCATCTCCCCTCCTTAGTTCATGTCCATGGGTCATACATATAAGTTCTTTGGCTTCTCCATTTCCTATACTGTTCTTAACCTCCCCATCTCTATTTTATGCCTACCATTTATGCTTCTTATTCCCTGTACCTTTTTCCCCCACTCTACCCCTTCCCCTCCCCACTGATAACCCCCCATGTGATCTCCATTTCTGTGATTCTGTTACTGTTCTACTTGTTTACTTAGTTGTTTGTTTTTTTTTTAGTTTGAGTTGCTGATAGTTTTGAGTTTTCTGTCATTTTATTGTTCAGTTTTTTACCTTCTTTTTCTTTTTCTTCTTATTTTTATTGTTGTTTAAGTACAGTTGTCTCCATTTCCCCCCATCACTCGCCCTCCCCACCCATCCCTGCCTCCTACCCTCAAACCTACCCTCTTTGTCTTTGTCCATGTGTCCTTTATACATGTTCCTTGATGGCCCTTCTCCTATTTCCCCCCATTATCCCTCTCCCCCCGCCCCTCAGGTTACTATCAATTTGTTCTTTATTTCAATGTCTCTGGTTATATTTTGCTTGCTTGTTTGTTTTGTTGATTTGGTTCCACTAATAGGACAGATCATATGGTATTTGTCTTTCACTGCCTGGCTTACTTGATCTTCTTTTTCTTAGATAAGTTCCTTTAACATTTCATATAATAATGGCTTGGTGATGATGAACTCCTTTAACTTAGTCAAGCACTGACTATCTGGGAAGCACGTTATCTGCCTCTCCATTCTAAATGATAACTTTGCTGGATAGAGTCATCTTGGATGTAGGTCCTTGCTTTTCATGACTTTGAATACTTCTTTCCAGCCCCTTCTTGCCTGCAAGGTTTCTTTTGAGAAACCAGCTGATAGTCTTACGGGAACTCCTTTGTAGGTAACTGTCTCCTTTTCTCTTGCTGCTTTTAAGATCCTCTCCGTATCTTTAGTCTTGGGTAATTTAATTATGATGTATATTGCTATGTTTCTTCTTGGATCCAACTTCTTTGGGACTCTCTGAGTGTCCTGGACTTCCATGTCTAGTTCCTTTGCCAGACCGGGGAAGTTTTCCATCATTATTTGTTCAAGTAAGTTTTCAATTTCTTGCTCTTCCTCTTCTACTTCTGGCACCACTATGATTCGGATGTTAGAACATGTAAAGTTGTCCCAGAGGTTCCTCCGCTTCTCCTCATTTTTCTGAATTTTTGTTTCTTTGTTCTGTTCTGATTGGATGTTTATTGCTTCCTTTTTTTCCAAATCATTGATTTGAATCCTGGTTTCCTTCCCTTCACTGTTGGTTCCCTGTATATTTTCCTTTATTTCACCTTGTATAGCCTTCATGTCTTCCTTTATTTTGCAACCATCCTCAGTCATTTCTGTGAACATCCTGATTACCAGTGTTTTGAACTCTGCATTTGATAGGTTAGCTATTTACTTGTCACTTGGTTCTTTTTTTGGAGCTTTGATCTGTTCTTTCATATGGACCATATTTCTTTGCCTTGGCACTCCTGTTACATTGTAAGGGACGGAGCTTTAGGTATTCACCAGGGCTGGGCAACTGACTTCTCTGCGTTGTGGTGCTATATGTGGGGGAGGGGTCAGAGAGGGAACAATGCCGCTCGCTAGCTTGCTTAGCGCTCATCCCACTTTCCGTCGCTTCCCTCACTTCCCGCAAGTGGATTGTGCCCTTTCAGGTCCTGGGTTGGTGAGTTTGTGTGCATTCTAGGACCCTGTGGGTCTCTCTAGTGGACTCTCCTGTGAGACTGGAAGTTTCTCCTGCTGTCACAACCCCCACAGATTTTTACAGCCAGAGGTTTTGAGGCTTTATTTCTCTCCGTTGGAACCCTGGGTTGTGTGGTCTGTCTTGCTCCCCAGTTTTTCCTTCTGGTTTATCTGCATGTGAATGTGGGACTGCCTAGTCTGCCAGCTGCTGCCTTGTCACGCATCCTCTCTACCCCAGCTTCCCATCTCCGCCCCTCCTACCGGTCTGGATGAATGTTTCTTCTTTAACTCCTTGGTTGTGGGATTTCCATAAAATTTGATTTTCTGGCAGTTGTTTTTTTTTGTTTTTACATTGGTTATTATCCTTCTTTTCATTGTGTGAGGAAGTGAATCATATCTACCTGCACCTCCGTCTTAGCCCTTGACTAGGCTCTTTTACAATCCTGTAGAAATAGGATTATTGCATAGAAAACTGACAGTAATGTAAAGAATTCCTGTCCCTAGAAACTCACATTCTGTCTGATAAAGTTTGGATTGATGTCCCTCAGCCTTTGTAGAAGGAAGCAAGTTTTGCAGCTACTGAGCAAATTCATGTCCACATTCCTAATGGCCTATGTCTGCTCTTTGGATTTTCCTTTTTAATTAATGAGCAAATAGAATAATTCCTACATTTATATTTGTCTGAGACTCATGACTTTATTCTCTTTTAAAGATTTTATTTATTTTTAGACAGAGGGGAAAGGAGGGAGAGAGGGAGAGAAACATCAGTGTATGGCTGCCTTTCATCCACCCCCTACTGGGGACCTGTCCCACAACTCAGGCATGTGCCACAACTGGGAATTGAACTAGCGACCCTTTGGTTCACAGGCTAGCGCTCAATCCACTGAACCACCCCAGCCAGGACTTTTTCTCTTTTAAAATTTAACCTTTAACACTTCCTATGATTAACATTTACATAACTGGATCTCTTCAGCCAATGGTTTCCAGTCAACCACTGAAAATGGTCATCTATAGCAGTGGTCCCCAACCTTTTTGGCACCACAGACCAGTTTTGTGGAAGACTGAGGGGTTTGGGGGACAGGAGGTGGAACTCAGGTGAGCTTTGCTTGTGGCCAGGTTGGGGTTCCCTGATCTATTGCATTGTCCTCCTTCAGTTTTAGGGACAAAGTATCTCCTACCAACTAAGGATTTTAAAAGAATTTAACATATTTAATTATACATATATTCATTCACTGTATCCATTCATTTGAAAGTGTTCATTATCTACTGTATGCATAGCCCTAGGCATGGCTGGCTTCATGGGCATGTGATCTGTAGTGTCACAAAGGCCTCCAGAAGGGCCTCATGTTGTGTTTAATGCTCTGTTGTTGCCATCTCAAAATTCTTAATCATTTTTAAAAGAGGGGTGCATTTTCATTTTGCACCTATCCTCCCCATATTATGTAACAAGTCCTCAATGCTATAAGCACTGAGGTGCACATATGGGTGATTCAAAATAAGTGCAAAGCATAATTCTTGCCCTTCAGGAAGGCAGCTGTCTAGAAAGGAAGAGAAAAATATATACATGTGACTGACACATAATAGGACATGTAGTTCATGATGCTTTTGCAGCATAAAATGAATGGCCCTGTCAATTATACTAGATGGATCAGAAAAGTGAAAGTTCCCTGAGGGAGATAGTCAGGTGAAGTAGGGCTTTCTTCAAGACTTTGTAGGATGCATAGGAAACTCCAGGCTCAAGGTTAGGGAGAGAGATCATTTTAAGCTTCAAGATCAGCAGGGGCAAAGATTCCGAGCCTGGACAAATAATCTACATGAAGACCAGTGGGACAATGTTCTAACCAACAGGACAGTGGGGTGGAAGGCTAGATTGGGTTCACAGTAGGGCTGGTTTTACAAGTCCAGTTAGGCAGTTTGGACTGCATTCTGTGGGCAACAGGGAACCAGCCAGTGGGAGTGTTTTTGTTGTGGATTGGCTGGTTTTTATTTTTAGTGATGTGATTTAGTATTATAGACAAACTGTCCCACACCGGTGTCTGGAGAGACCTAAAGAAGGGCAATGGGGTAGCTGTGGACTGATCATGTTGGCAGAGAGGTGACAAAGAGGCTAATGAAAGAGATTGCTGACAGGATTTGGTGGCTTTAAAGTTATTAATTGAATACTGTGTGCCAGGCATACCAGTAGGTGCCAAGGTTTTGAAAAGTCCCTGCCTTCATAGTATTTACAACCTAATTGGAGGCATTCATTAGGCTATGTGAGGGAGTAATTGGGCTATGAGGAAGCACACAGGAAGGCTCCTAACCCACGCTTGAAGGTAAGAAAGGCCCACGAGGGGGAGTGACACCATCTAGCCTGAGTATAAAAGGATGAAGAAGAGCTAGCCAAGTGAGTTGAAGGCCCTTGATGCTCTGCCAGATCCCCTTGACCTTGCCGGCACGTGCCCCATCTCCCATTTGCTATGACCTGGCTGCTAACAAAGTTCATAACTGCCCTCTTCTTGGGAAATTTTCCCTCAGCCAAATGGGAAGTTAGGCTATGTGCCCACCCCCCAGCATATTTCAGCCAACGACTGACACAGGGGTACAAAAGGTCAGCTCCCTGCCCGAAGACAAACCGATTCTGTGGTGTAATCTGTGCCACTTAATTTCCCCTCAAAACCCAGGCAAAGATAATCTCCAGGTGAGACACAGAAAGCCCTTTGCGACCCAGCTCCTACTCTGTTTTCTTGCCATTTTCCCTCCATTCCCTACCTAAAGCTTTCCACTTGGTAAAACCAAACTATCCAGTTCCCCATCCTTCACCATGGATCCCATGCCTCTGACTGAGTTTTATTGAACAAATTTCCCACCTTTCTTGGCCTGGCCAACTTACCTCAAGTATCACCTCCTCCAGGAAGCCTTCCCTAAACCTGGAGGTGCACCAAGAATCCCTCCTCTGAGCTCCTATCACTCCCTATACAAACCTTAGCACTTACACAATTATCACATTAAAATTCTGTGTGTCCATGTCTGCCTCCCCTAGTGTACTGCAAACTGCCCAAGGGCGGGATCTCTATCTTGTTCAGTTTTGCTCCCCGAGTTTGTGGCACAGTGTTTGACACATGCCGAGGGGTTCAAAAAGGTCTGCTGACCATGTCTCATTTCTCACCCCAGAAGAGGTCATCACTGAGCAGAGATGAGACATGTGGAAAGAAGAAGGGCTGACATGGTCCAATTGCTATACCAGGCCATTAATCCCAGGCAGCTAATAGATATTGATCCTATGGTTCTGGCCAGAGAGAAAGGGTCTCTTCCTGCAGCCTGGATCACAGAATGGTACATGGAAGGGACCTTGACAAACTTCTAATTTATTGCCTCCTAACCCCTACCTAATGAAATCCACAATAAGATTTTAAAAGGAAGGAATGTTGGATTTCTTTGCTTTTGATGGGAACTATGTCATTTAATCATGGGACTGCTAAGGTGCATTGATGACAAGAAACCTGAGTCAGCAATAATATATGCCTCTGCCAAAGATAACTGGAGAAAGGAATTATTACTTAAGAACTAATGTTTGAGAGACTAAGTCTTTGAAAATGTGTAATCAAACAGAGCCTTGAGACAGCCAGACTTGGCATATACAGTTTCATCATACCAGGGATCACCAGACAGGTCCATTCTTGGATCAGTAATTTCACAGAGGCATGCATTGCACAGCGTGTACTACAAGGCTTAGTGACAATGACACCTGTCCTGCACAAGCCCTTGTCGTATTCAATTCAGCTACCTATCCAGGAGCCCTTGTGAAATGATTTTTTAAAATGCAGCCACACCTGTGTTTCACACAGAGGAAAGGAAATGCACGGTCAGTGTTACCACGGCGATGATGTAACATAATGCAATCTAAGCTTTATTTTAGCCACAGCTTTGTGTTTTAATGACTTTTAAATGACTTTTGTCCTGTACTTCAAAATCATTAAAGCTATGACAAGGTCATACTTCATTCCATTTAGTGAGAAAAACTATACAACACACTGGGTGTTTATATATGTGGGTGTCTGCCAATCTTTTGGGATATATCCCTCAGGGACAGCAAAGGTGCACAGGATAGAAGGGGGTGTGTGGTGATAAAAATATTGAGTTTCACTACTCCATCTCCATGGGCTCATTTCACAGATGAAGAAATAAAGACATAAAAGAAACAAAGTGTTTTTGTCAAGGTCACGTAGATGGTGACTGTCAGAGCTACAAATAGAACCCAGTGTTACTATTTTTACTTAGAGTTAAGAACTATTTCTACACTGCATAAATAAAAATTAAGGTGGTCACCTATAGAGGTGGGTTGAAGGCAAGCCCATAGGAAACAATTATAGGAAGAAATAAAGTATCGTTGAAGAAGTTCCATATTGCGGGCTATCTGTGGCCGGTTTTTAATCACAGAATCAATTTGCATCCCCAACCATCTGTATGGTCCATAAATCTCCTCTCAAAAAACATTTTCCTAAAAAACATAAAAATTACTTCTTTAGGTCATCTTCTGTTTATAATTTTTGGAGAGTTTACTGTTGTCATCTTCAGAGAAATCATGATGGTCTTCGACCTGCATGTATCAGCTATATAATCACTCTTGATGCTCTTTCTAGCAGGTCTCTTAAAAGGAAGACTGATACCCTTGATGGGAGAGTGCAGATTGGCAGAAGTAACGGGCCCCATTTGGTTCTTTACTCATTTGTAAATTGGTTTATTTTTGGTAGTCTAGTGAATATGTGGGTTGAATGATTTTGCTTTGCAACCTGTGTTTAATCTTACCAAGATGCTGAACATGAACGAAACGTGAGGATAAAGTCCCCAAGGTGATGAATCCTTTGATGTATTGTTATGGTATGTGATTTATGAAGACAGATGGAGTATGGGGTACAAAAAGGATGGAATAAGTGCCCTTTAACACACCCACATCAATAAACTGACCCACTCATTTTAGTAGATTCTTTCATTTCTTTACAGGGCTTTTACTGGTACGACTGAGTCCTTGTAAAATATTCTGTATTTAACTTGGAGGATCTGTAAAATTCAAGGATCCTTGCATGCTTGGAGGATATCCAGAGACCATCACTGAAAATGATGAAAGAGATTGGAAATGGGATTGTTGAGCGTAAAATGAAAAGCTATCATTTCCAGAATGGTAAATAACTTGTTTTTTTTTTTCCTCGAAAAAGTTCAAAGTAACAAGAAATGAGCTCAAATTGTAACTGGCGGAATTAGCCTAGACATAATGCACAACGTTCTGGCACTGGTACTAGCACACACAGGAGCCTTTGAAGTCCCTTCCTTAGGTAAATGTGGCAAGCAGAGAAAAAATGGCCAATGGAATAACATTTGTATTATTAATCAACTCAAACTGTACCAAGGGAAAAAATGAAATTATAGTTGGATTAAAGAACATTAATTAGGTAAGGAGGGGGAGGGAAGTAATAAAAACCTGGTAATAAATTAAAGAAAAATCAAATATATTTTATAGCAGTGCTTATAGCATTGAGGCATAACCTCGAAAATTAAATCCATTCCTAATCCAAAAATTTTGTGTTATTTTGGTATTTTAAATCTTTCACCTGGCCATTCAAACAAAATTAATTGATTTATTTGAATTTAACTTCTTTTGAATTGCCCCTTCTTCGAAGATCTAATTAGTACTGTAATGAGGTTTTAAAAAAGGAAAAGATGGGATCTGATAAGTTTCTAGGCTCAGTTCCAGAAAGTTCAGTGCAGATGGCTTCTCTTCTCTAGACGTTTTTATTAGGTGATGATGGAAATCCTCATTTAAAAAAGAATTCTAGAAGAGTGTACCTTAAGCTTTAATGTGCATACCAATCACCCAGGGATCTTGTTAAAACACAGATTCTGATTCGGTGTGTCTGGGTGGCACCTGAAATTCTGGGTTTTTAAAAACCACCCAGGCTGCCCATGCCAATGGTCCAGGGACCACATTTTGAAGGGCCAGGCTCCATATCTTCACTGTCCAAGGCAGTACTAAGTACTTGCAATGTGACTAGTCTAAAATTGAGATGGCATTTCAGTATAAAATATACACTGGATTTCAAAGACAATGAAAAAAGTGAAATAGCTCCAACTTAGAAATTGGTTGCATGTTGAAAAAATGTTTTGGGCATATTAGGTTATATAATACCTATTATTAAAATTAATTTCATCTGTTTTTATTTACATTTTAATGGAGATACTAAAATTTTGATTTTATATATGCCTAATATATTTTATTGGAGAGTGATATTTGATTCATATGCAAATCACATGCAAATATATATAGAGCATATATTTTTAAAAATTACAGGATCATTTCTGGACATCCTTTATAGATCAAGCCTTTTCTGGCTTAAAACATTTTCATATTGACCTTTTTATCTCATGTAGTAATGAGATAAGATGAGAAATACCCTCACTTCTCAGAAAAGGCACCTTTCTTTGGCTAAGCCTGGTGAAATGCAGTGTTTTCAGATAATAATGAGTGTGAGACCTGGGGCGCCGTGGCACCAGTGCACCAGCTCGTTCTCTCTCTCAATGGCCTCGCCAAGCTCAGGTGGCCAGTTGCAGTTCTGTTCCTGCTCCATGAGGAAGTCCACACTCTGCCATACCAGCTCCTGATCTGAGGGCTTGATGTGCTCATAGTAAGAAAGAAGCATCTGGAGAATGGACGACAGGCCATGAGCTGCTCCTATATTGACAAACAAAGCATAATTAATTCACACAATTGGTAGGAGAGCCAGTTTAACTTAGTGAAAAGACAATCATAACATAAATAAAAAGAATGGTAATATTACTTGCAAGCACACATAGTTGAACTGCCAAAGAGCTGGGCTTCTGGGGAACATAGGTTAGAGCAGGGGTGGGCAAACTACAGCCTGCAGGCCAAATCTGGTTAGCTGCCTGTTTTTGTAAATAAAGTTTTATTGAAACATAACCTTGCTCATTCATTAATCTATTGTTTATGGCTGCTTTTGTGCTACAATGGTAGAGTTGTTTTTGTGATAGAGACCACAGGGACAAAAAGGCCTAAAATATGTATTATTTATTCCTTTATTTAAAAAAAAGTTTAGTAATCAACCCGTCTTAGAGAAAATATTTTTTGAAAACTTTGTAATTAACATATTGATAGCTTTTATGGAAATGCTCTTAAAGTTCATGAAAATAATTTGTTCTTCTATCCTAAATATTCACTCATTCATTCAACACATAAGAATTAAGCACCTACTATGTGCCAGATACTGTTAGAGGCTGAAGATAGGCCAGCAAAAAACCCAGGAAAATCCCTTTTTATTGATGGAGGCAGGGGGTTGGTGAGTGAATATAACCCAGCTTCCTTACCCCTTCAGTTAGAACAATTCTGACACATGTTCTGTTCAATCTTTAAAAATCCCAAGTGGAACTGAACCTCAATTATCTACAACTGCTCATTACTACATCCTCTATTAACTTCTTTGTCTATCCTGACTCAGTTACTCATTCTTCTATCAACACTTTCTTGTATCACTTCCCAAATAAATCATTTACAGTTTCTCTCAAGGTCTGATTAGAAGAAAAGTTAGATAGGAACTTAAAGTTTCTTTGAGAAAACTCTCAGGGAATTGCTTGTCTATAAGCTCATTGTTCATGAGCCATTCATTCATTCATTCGTCTGTGTACCCTCATTATGTACAAGCTCTTGTTAAAGATCCAGAGATCACAAAGAGAAATGAGAGAAAGCCCTTATCCTGAAGGTACACAGAGCCCATTAAGACTGTTGGAAGGTAAGCCACTAATACAGTCCAATGTGATAAGGACTCCAATAGAAGTGTGGCAGGATAACATGATACAACCAAATTTTGCTTCAGGGAAAAACCTGAACCATGTGACCATTTCTCCAGAGAGGTTCAATAAACCTACTTTCCAAAAGCCCAAAGTTCCTCAATAGATCTAATGATATTTAAGCAGAGTCTTGAAGTCTGGGTATACAGATAGATGAAGGGGTTGAGAGAAGCCAGGCATTTGAGGCAAAAAGAACAGGCACAAAGGTTACAGAGATATGAGAACATTTTGCTTGTAGGAGACTGTGCTGGACAGAACCAGAGAGGGGAAGAGATAAAGTTTAGTTTGGAGGAGGCAGGTGATCTACAAAGGGCCTTGCAAGTCATGCTCAGGGGTAAAGGGAGTAATTAATTTTCATTTTACATGCCTCATAGCTCAAAAGTCACCATTGTTTGAATAAACAGTCTGCTATTAATCCACTAACATTAAAACTTGAGAATGTTGGTGGTTGAATCCTGTTTCCCCGTGCAGACACACTAGTTGAAATAAGTGTGTAAACTGTTCACAAACTCAGCAAAATTGGGCCAATGAACTCACAATTTAGAATGAGGAAACTAATTTCTAAAATAGCTACATTTCCATCAGGTAGACTGTGGAAATAAATATTAAATTGTAATTTGTATTATCTATCAATACTTTAATGGCATTTTAATGTATTTCTAGTTAAATGAATAGTGACGTATTTCAAAAACAAATCTTCCAGTCTTTAGTCAATGTTGATACTAGAAACTCCCTTTATCCTTCGCCAACACCTTCACTCACCCAAGTATTCAGTTCCATAGTAAGAATACATCAAGGGGAATGGTTTCCTCTTTTTCATGGCATACTGCTTCCCGGAGTCAAGAATTGCTTGGCAAATAGATTTGATCTGTGCTGGAGTCAGCACCTGAGTAAGGAAATCAAGAAGCAGAAGTCAAATCAGGATCTTTTTTTTTCTCAGACACTGGATTTTCTTGCTTAAAAAGTCCATCAGCATATCCCCTAAATCCTTTTCCTAGGTGTACATAAGCCTCGCCAAGCATAACTTTTTTCTAACCACTGATTCTCTCCTTGTTGTTTCTCTACCCTCTTCAGAAAATTTGCTGTTTTGATGGGAAATACACACCTTTACTGCTATAGGCTTTTATGAAATGCAAAGACCACATTACAGTTGTCATATCATTAATCCTTGTCACAGAAACAAGATATTGATCAGAAAAGAGCAAAGACTGGTCCTAACTGATCGTGCTTATTAGAGCTGTTAATCCTGGTGTACAGTGTGGGTGTGGTCCAGACAATGGGCCTTCAGTTTGTGTCATTTCAATGGTGTTCATAAAACCACAATTCTATAACAAGCTGCCACATGATGGACTCATGTGTAGAATTTGGCATTCCTGAATGAAGTCCAATAAGTACCAAGGCAAAATCACTTTTAATATCAAAATGATTCTGAATAGAGAATGGCTAAAATGCAAGGATTTGCATTTGTCAATATTTTATTCAATCTACACAGTCATTTCCAGACTGTGTGTACAGAGATTAAAATGTTCTCAAGCCTGCAAAACATCTCTGAGTTTATTAGGATTATGCTCAGGTTTACGATGTTCTCTGCCTTCCACTCCTCTGGGCAGATCAGATGATCCCTTTGGCACAGTCTGTACCATCACAACTCCTTGGTGTAGCACTAACCACCTGATGTATTATGGTTCTCTCTACTAAACGATCAGTTATTTGAGGACAAACACTGTGGCATCTCATCATTTTGACATCCTTGGTTCCTAATACAGAAACTGAGAGGGCCTTTGGTAATTGATGAATGAGTAAATAAGTGCCATGTTTACTGGCATGAAAAGCACAGCCCTCCCCTCTCTAACCTCACTCCTCCATCCTTCTTTCCCTTCCTTCCACATTTATTTCTTAAGCCCCTACTATATGCCAGGAAAGCCTGCTATAGATGCTGGAGATACAACAGTGAACAGGATAGACAAGAGCTTTGCTCTCATATAAAGTAAATCTTCCCAAAAGGCAGACCTGCACAAGAAAAAAACCAGTCAGAGAAATACACCACACACACACACACACACACACACACACACACACACACACACACACACACACCATCTAAAGTTCAGCCTTGGCCTGAATGAATCTGGGATAAAGGAAAAAATTCATTGGTTTTGGCCTCTCTCCTAAGACATCCAATTTTCCTACCTGTTAGCTGCCATTAGACCCACTAATTCCTTTTGAAATGAAGCACTAATGGCTTCTTAACTCATAACTTGCTCCTCTGATTTACCCATTAGAAGGGTAAAATATAATCCAGGTTTTAGCCTCCTGAAATCTAGCACTTAATTCGGAAAAAATAATTACATAACAAGAAAGCTGTTCATTAATTAATTCTGCCAATTAACATTTACTGAACTACTATTCGAGTAAGGCCTTGTACTACAAATTGTGAAGGAATTTCTAGAAAGCCTGGGACACATTTTTTCGCTACAGGAAACTTAGCCAGCACTGTAGATGAGAAATATACAAAAGTATATACTTGAGCAATTAAAGTTCATGAGCCTAGGGGTGAAAAGAAACAGGAATGCAGAGTATGGCACACAGACAATAAGCACTGCTCAGCTTCACTAAGACTTTATTGTCCTCTTGGTTTCCAACTGGTTGCTCAGAAACAATTGTGTCATGGCTTTTGACTTAAATTTTCCTTTTATTAGCTATGTAGTTTGTCTCTTGGGTTTACTCTTCCTTACTGCCTAAAATTCCCAAACACTTTACCTTCCCATGCATTCCCAGCAACATTTCTAGTCTCAACCTCAGGTCTTTCCTTAGCTGAACAACAAATTTCTACTAAATCGTTTCCTACTCTGCATTTATTCAAACTGCTGTCAAAATTTTCACTTGGTATTAAAAACATCTTACTCTTTAGGTCTTTATCAGAATGAACTGATCTTACATTTAGCCTTACTCTACTTAATGTCTGGCATCACCGGTTTCATGTCAACCCCTCCATCCTGGCTCACTCTCAAAAACCTGCTAAAAGCTCTGAAGGGCATGAACTTGGTAGGACTCTAATCTGGTCCCATCCCATATTTTCCTTGGAATATATCTGGCTCTTCAACTGACCTTATGCCCTATCTGCAAATGTTGGTCTTGAATCCATGTGATAGAGGCAGTGTTTGTGATGCGAAAAGGTCCCTGAATTTTGGGGGTATGTATTCATTTGAACTACTAAAACTCTCCCTATTTGACTCCTGTACCAAAAATTGAAAACTGGCTAAATCTCTCCTCGGTTGAACATTTGTTCACATATCCCTCCCCTTTTCTGTGTGTGTGTGTGTGTGTGTGTGTGTGTGTGTGTGTGTGTTTACTTGCTTGTTTTTAACCCAGAGAAAAAAATCAACTTAGGTTATATGTTGTGCACTGTCCCATTCTTTCCATCCCTAATCCACAGCTCAGACTAGAGAATGAGTTTATATTTCAAAACCTCCTCAGTCATGCATCACGTGTGGGTGGTTTCCTCTTATCTCTCAGAAACACTGAAAAACAAAGAGAAATCGTGCTTCCATGATAAAGACCAGTTACACATGCAGTTCTTTATCTCTGGGAACAGACAAAACCTACCCTTGAGTTCACTGATTAGTAAAAAAAAAAAAAAAAGTGAAAATAATGCTCATTAAGACTGTGGAAGGGAACATTGAGGAACAGGGTGCTCTTCTGCCCCACATACAGTAGAGAAAGAAGAAAGAGGAGATGCGAGGGAAGGGGCCTGTTCTTATTCTCTCATTTGTCTGCTTTCTCAGATACCCGTCCATTTCCCAGTCCTAGAACATAGGAACATGCTCATGAGCACACACACTACCTCCAAGAAGATGACCTCTTGTGCTTTTCAAACACTCTTGAGGCCCTGGGATGGAGAAAATGGCACTGCCAGTGGAAAAAAAGTGGCTCGGGATGACAGAGAACTCCCTGCTCATGAGGCCTTTATCAAGACAAACCCAAATTCCCTCTCCTGAATTTGGAGCACATAAGGCCGATGCATGTGTTGATATTTTGGATGGATTTGGTTCTTTAAATAAATTTTTACATTTAATTAAAATAAATTAAGGTATCTCAAAAGTACAAAGTAAGTCTGTGGTAGTTTGGTTTAAAGAGTTTCATTAGTTTAACTAATTCCTTTCTCTGATCCTCAAACAGAAATGTCTGCAATGAAATTTTCCCGTTGGGCTGGGCTCTGAGTATGAAGAGATGAGAGAGCAATGAAGTCCATGCTTGGTTTCTTGGCCCTACCTGAAGATCGTGTTGTTACGGAACACTTCCACGCTGAGGAGAGATGACCTTTGTTAATGACAAGAATGGAATGGACCAAGTCACCGAACACTTGCCTCACCACAGACCGTTTTCTAGGGCACATGTCCTGTCCATGGGCACTCAGAAGTGGAAGTCTTTGCTAGTCACATAGGAACCACTGCCAACATTACCAAACAATAGTCCAAAATGCCCTGAGTATGTGACTGTCCATCTACATACGCTGCAGAAAGTCACTCCAATATCATGCCAAATACATAAGTAACAGAGTAATAATTTGATATTGACTTAGGTGTTTTTTTTCCTGCAATTAATTTCACCCCAATCCTTCATCCTATTATTCTGGTAGCAGCACAGGCTTCTGCTCAGAGAATGAAACAAGCCTTTTGACTACTAATGAACATCAAAATGAACTTTGATACCCAAGGATAACAGCTCTGATGAGAAAGGCTTTTGAGTTGTTAGAACCTGGGTATTTTGGTATCAATACTTAAAGTTGATACCATATTAACAAGACAAATAATAGTAAGTGTTAGAGAGTAATAGTAAGTGTTAGAGAGGGTGTAGAGAAAAAAGAAACCCTCATTCACTGCTGGTTAGAGTGTAAACTGGTATAGTCACCATGCAAGAGTATGGAGGTTCCTCAAAAAATTAACAAGAGAGTCACCATATGATCCAGCAACCCCTCATTCAGGCACCTACACAAAAAAATTGAAAACACTTATTCACAAAGATACATGCACCACTGTTCACTGCAACATTATTCACAGTGGTCAAGATATATAAACAACTGAAATGTCCCTCAGTAGATGACTGGATAAAGAATATGTGGTCCATATATATGATGGACTACTACTCAGCCATAAGAAAAGCTGAAATACTGCCTTTTGCAACATGAATGGATCTTGAGACTGCCATGCTTAGCAAAATAAGTTAGAAAAAATCAAGAGCCATATGATTTCACTCATATGTGAGATATAAAACTGAAAGTAACAAATGAACAAACAAGACAGACAAGTACTCAGAGACAGACAACAGTGTGGTGGTTACCAGAGGGAAGAGGGGTAGGGGAGGTGGTAAAGGGGGCCAAGTATATGATGACAGCAGGAGATTTTACTTTGGGTGGTGAACACATAGTGCAAAATATAGATGATGTATCACAGAATTGTACACTTGAAATCTATATAATTTAATTAACCATTGTCAGTCCAATAAATTTAATTTAAAAACAGACTTGAAGTATACATATATAGCCACCAGGAAGTTGAAAGTCTGGAGTTCCTGCTACACCCCCTTCTGACAAACTTGTAATCCCCCAGATAGGTTTAGGGATTTACAGGTGGTTAGAATATATGCCTCCTTCCTGCCTGGGGAGATGGCAGCCACAAAGATACGTTTACTGCTTCAGGGTCTGGGGCCAGTAAAAGAGATGCCATTACATGGCACATCCCATAAGAAAGCCAGAGACAATCCTGAGTTTTCTGTGGGTACTATGGTAAACCAGAAAAAAAGACCATCCCCTGAAGCAAGTTTACTTTTAAAAATTCTCAGTCCAACAGTATGGATGGACCCGGAGAGCATTATGTTAAGTGAAAT